CCGCATCAACCTAAGGGTACAAACACACTGCTACAGCCGCATCAACATCCCCGCCTCCGTGAATCTAGCTAGATTCACCAACTTCGAGTTTTGCTAACATACAGGCTGGTCGCTTAAAGATGCCCACCTGAGTCTGGACCCGTGCAGCTCTGACTTGTTCATCTTTGCCCGGAAATACTTCCATTATTCGCCCCATAAGCCACTTCGTTCGATGAACACCGCTATCGCATATGAGGACTACGTCGCCTACGGCCAAAGGCTTCACTGGCTGGTACCATTTCGTCCTCCTGGTCAGGTCAGGAAGGTATTCATCTACCCATCTCTTCCAGAATCGGTATTGCATCTGTTGGGCCTTACGCCATTGTTTGCGAGTGGCTTGGAACTGCTCTTCATTCGGATGTGGCGTTTGCTCAGCGTTTGGGGTACCTAAAAGAAAATGATTGGGAGTTAGCGGTTCATCAGTGGGTGCGTCAAGTGGGATGTGTGTCAACGGTCGGGAATTAACGATGTTCTCCGCCTCACACATGAGACTGTATAGGACGTGTTCTTGAATACTTTCGTTATGTACTGCATGACCCATAGCTCTTTTGACGCAGCGTACCAAACGTTCCCAGCAGCCTCCAGCGTGCGGGTTCAACGGGCAATTGAAAACCCAGTCAATGTTTTTATTCGCAAGCGCATTTGCTATTTTGCCATTATTAAACTCCATAAGCTGTCGTTTAAGCTCCCTGTCAGCACCAACGAGGTTCGTACCGTTGTCCGAACGGATACGCACAGGGGTTCCACGCCTACACATGAAGTTCCTGATACATAACAGGCAGGTGTCGGTGGAGAGGTCCTTCGCCATTTCCAAATGTATCGCTCTCGTTGTTAGGCAAGTAAAGAGGGCGATCCAGCGCTTCTCGTTTCGCCTACCGATGACAACGTTGAACGGTCCCATGTAGTCTAAGCCGGTGTATGTGAAAGGCCTAACGAATGGTGTCAGCCGATCTACTGGCAATTGGCCCATTTCTGGTTGATCTGGAACGGCTCTTGCATTGACGCAAAACTGGCATCTTTTAGTGACGCGACGCACTTCGACCCTTATATTAGGGATCCAGTACTTGCGTCGTATTTCGGCAATTATTGTGGATTCGTTTTGGTGTTTCCAGGAGCGATGGTAATGATCTATCAGCAACTCCGTTACGTAGCATCGCTTAGCTAGGATTATCGGGCGTCTCGTACATGATGAAATCGTGGTGGCAGCGTCTATTCGACCACCCAGTCTTATGACGCCCTCCGCATCCATAACGGGACTGAGCTTCCACAACGCGCTACCCTTCTCTATCCGCTTGCCCATGCGCAGGGCATGGTATTCATCCGCAAACTCTTCCATCTGTGTTGATCGTAAGACTACTGTTTCGGCCTTTTGCAACTCGAACACCTTCAAGTCGTCATAAACGCGTGTCGCTTTTGTCTTGAGACAGTTTTCCCGAAATCGCAACATCCAGCTAACTACTCTTCTCAGTCGGTTGAAGGACGAAAATCTCTTAAAAAATGAAGTATTAGTATTAATTATTAATATCGTGAATTTGTTGCGCAGCTCAACGTCTGTAGGTTCACAAGATGCATTTGGCGGCCAGTTGTTCTCGTTTTGCTGTAAAAAGCTCGGACCTGTGATCCAGAATGACACGCGCCTTCCATCTCTGGGACGCGTTCCGAAGTCAGCTGGGTTAAGTGCGCTGGGTACCCATCGCCATTCATTAATTTCACTGCCATCCAAAATTTCATTTACCCGATGCGCTACGTAGGGCTTGTAACGCCGATGGTCCGATTTTAACCAAGACAATACTGTTTTTGAGTCAGACCACATCGTAACCCTACTTGGGACTTGCAATAATACTATTTTTGAGGCGCGTAGCGAGCACTGCTGAGTGCAATTCGAGACGAGGAACAGATACCAGCTTAATTGGAGCACACTTAGTTTTACCAGCGATGAAACCCAGTCGGATATTGCCGTGATCGACTACAAGTCTCCAGTATGCAACAGTTGCGTATGCTGCCTCGCTCGCGTCCGCAAACACGTGTAGTTCGACGGGTCCCTTAGCAAATGTAGCTCCGTAGCAGCGTGGTATACTTATACTCTCCAGATCTCGTAACATTCGAAGCCACTTCTTCCAGCTCATGTACACCGCGTCGGATATGCTGTCATCCCAATCTATCCGCTCCCGCCAAATTTCTTGCAGGATTAACTTAGCTTCCAGGGAATATTCTGCTGCCATTCCAAACGGATCGAAGATGGACATCGTTGTACTGAGGACTTCTCGTTTTGTTGGCTTCCGCTTCTCCTTTAACACGTCCTGATTCACCTTCCCTAAGGATAGAACAAACTTGAAAACGTCTCTTTCGGTTTTCCAAAACATTCCGAGCACCTTCTGGAACAATTCGGCATTTTCTCTGTCAAGATTTAAATAATGTAATGGTAACTGTTCTTCATTTAAGCTATTTATAAGTTGCGAGTTCGATACGAATCTTTTTAGTTCAAAACCTCCGCGCTTATGAATGCGGACAACCTGATTTGTCACCGTAAAGGCCTCATCCTCACTGGAGAAACAATGCACAAAATCATCTACGTAATGATTGTTTACGATCGCCGCTACAGCCTCTGGAAACTGTTCTTTAAAGTCTTCTGCGTTTTTATTCTTGACGAACTGCGCTGAGCAGGGCGAACAAGTAGCTCCGAATACCATCACATTCATCACGTATTCTTCGATTGGCGCTCCGGGATCAAATCTCCATAAAAAGCGTTGCGATGCCAAATCTTCGTGTCGAATCTTCACTTGGTGGAACATTTCCACAATATCAGCGCACACTCCAACCGGTTTCTGTCTAAACCTCATCAGGACGCTTGCCAGAGACTGTGATAAGTCTGGCCCACTGAGTAACATGGAGTTGAGTGAAGTGCCTCGTGACTCCGCCGCCGCATCAAAAACTAGCCTAAGTTTCCCTGGTTTATTAGGGTTAAACACACCAAAGTGAGGCAGGTACCAAGTCCGCTTGCTTATTGTTGCGGCTTCCTCCTTACTCAGCATCCGGCAATAGCCCTTTGCCAGATATTCAGAAATGATTCCAGCGTATGCTTTCTTCAGGTCATCGTTCTTCTTGAACTTCCTTTCTAACGCAAAAAATCGATTTTCGGCCATCTTTCGGCTCTCCGGCAACTCCACGTCGTCTTGCTTCCACAGCAAACCCGTTTCGAATCGAATCCCGTCGCGCTTAGTGGTTTCTTCCAATAATTTCTTCGCTCTTAACAAATCTTTAGCTTCGACCTGCTTCGCCGTACTTACGCCCATGTTCTCATTAGTTATGAAATCGTTCACGAGATTTTCCATGTTGTCGGTCATATTCTCCGTCTCGCCGACTTGTGCAAACAATGTGTGATACCGCGAGTAAGGAGCTAGGGGGCCCGCCGTGCCATAAATAACCCATCCAAGCTTCGTCAGCACTACTGCGTGTCCTCTTCTACCGTCGTACTGTTCGCTTCGGAATGCCAAGATGTGCGTTGTCTAAACCTATCAATAGTTCTGGTACAGCATCGTTATATTGTAGGATCGGTAAGTGTTGATATTTGCAATGAAGATCTGCCAGGCTAAGCGACTGCATTGGCAACTGAAGATTTACAACCGTGCGAACATCACGCATCAGAAATTTGCTGCTGTTACGCCCAACGCCGGAGATGTGAACGTCTACTCTACAGGAACGCTCCGTAACGGTCGTGCTGCCAAACCACTGCAGGGTCAAGTTATCACTGCTTCCCTGCAGTCCAAGGCGGGTTGCCAGATCGCGGTTCATTAAGGATATGGCTGACCCTTCGTCGAAGAACGCGTAGCTATTGATTTTTCTACCATGCGGGTACAATACCACTGGAAGTATCTTAAATAACAATTTCGGGGCGGGACTGGGTGCTACCGTATTTGTAAAAACTTGCTGTACTGCTTCTTGCGCTGCCCGTTTCTGCTGAACCGCCTGTTCTGATGTCGATGCCAAAGTTTGCTGTATCGCGTACCGCGAAGTCGGCTGCGACGCTTGCTGCGGTGGCGCTGACTGCCACTGTTGTGCTCTGCCACTGGACTCGTGAAGAAGTACATGCCTCCTTTTTGTACAGTGCCTGTCACCGCACTCATGTTCTTCACCACAGTTGTTGCTGCGATGACTTCCCTTTAGACAATTAAAACAAAGCTTTTTGCGACGAACTAGGCGCCATCTATCCCCGTGCTCCATGTTCAGGAATCTTCTGCACTTAGTAATCGCGTGCCTATCTGCACATGCCTCACACCTAATTCGCCCAGAATTTTCACCACTAGCCTCGTTGGCGTGGAAAAATCTTGAACGCCCTTCGGGTCTATTTTGTCGCGGTTCTAAGCTAGAGTATACGCAGGCCGAGTTCACCATTGATGACAACTCCTGTAACCAATCACTAAAATGGCAGATTGTTGGTCGCGGTACAATTGACGAAGCGTAACGTGCCCATTCGATGCGTCTCTGTATGGGCAGCTTCAACAGGAGTTCTTCCATTAGCGTCGGATTAGACAAGTGGTGGTCGCAATCAGCTGCCTGCAGGAACGAAGACAGATTTTGCACCTTAGTCGCAAATCCCACAAGCTGTTCGATGCGACTCTCTGAGATCGGCGCCACATTTCTTATTTTATTTATCTGACTCTTTACCAGCAATTCCGACTTCCCAAAACGCTCCTGCAAAACCTTCATAATTTGCGACACGTTCCTACTATGGATTAACAGACACTCGATAGTTTCCCTAGCCTTTCCTTTAACTGCCTTTTGTAACCGAATCATATTCTGTGTATCAGTATATTGGTACTCTGCAGTGGTCATTAAAAAGGTTTCCCTAAACATGGGCCAGTCCTCTGGACGCCCTTCAAACTCTGGCAAATCATATAGCTTGCGTGTTAATCCTAGTTGTGAACTACCTTGCGAATGACCTACTACGCTGGATGCTGTTGTAATAATTCCATTATCATTAGCCGCATTCGCCTGTACCTGCCTACTTTGCCGAAGCTCTTCTTGAATGCTTTGAACTTGCCGCAAAATCTCAGTTAGCCGAATTTCGAGCGATTGTTGCCCAGCCATATTTGCTGTAGGCTGCTGAAGAATCGTTTCTTCAAACTCTTCGTTATCGCTATCTCCTTCATTCACACTAGCCTCTTTACTTGCCCCGGAACGTGTTGTCGGCATGATACAAAATGGTCGCCACGAATATTCGAAAGAGATTTTTAGCCGCGCTTTTTACAATTTTGGCGCGATTTCGCTAGGTTATGTTCTATACCACACTACGACGCACACCACTAACTACTAACTCTCACCCAATCAGTTCTTTAAGACACTTACCAATTAGCTTCCTTGGTTTGATCACAGCCACACCTCGATCTGCAGCTTACTTGGTTTATGGCACGTGCTCCGATCAATTTCGATTCAATTTCATCCGATCTTGAAGGAATTTAGCGCATGTACATACAAAACGGTGCGCTCTCAAATCGCTTACTTATTACTAGCCACAACTTTCAGGCATTAAGACGAACTATTAAAATATTAAGCTTGTAATGCGGCAAACTCTGGTTGTTCGCCAACCCATAAAAAAGCGAAATAAAGATTGTTGATTGCGTCCTGGTCCGAGGAGTATAAAATAAAGCTCACGCCAATTTTGATGTGTATGCTGACATGAATTGTGCTTTATTTCCTGTTCAATTTGTACAATAAAGATATAATAGTTTTTAAATCATAAATAAATCAACTTACGCTTTTGTGCGCTCCTAAGCTCCCATCACCAGGACCACAATCAATTTCCTTCTAGAACCTCTCTACGTTCTTTTGGTTTTGATTATGGTTAGTGATGGGATTACAACATTTTCGATAAAATACAATGACATAAAGGTA